TCGAAGACAGCTTTACGTCACATAGCTTTGATGTATCGAAATGCAGTGGTATAAGCTGGTTGCAATAGTCGCGTTGCATTCGGGTTTAGGGCTATAAGTATTATGGCGAGACTTGGGCAAAGTTGCGCCAGCTCAAGATAGGTGTGGCTCTTATGACCATCTACAAAAATAATCACTGAAAAATGACATTCTTTATTGTAGGACTAATGAAAAACGTTTTATTCGTAATGGATAAAAAGTTCTGCAATTATTCACCTATTTTCTGATAAGTAAATAACGTATTTAAGATAGTAAATATCCCTCTCTCTAGGCAGTAATTTTTTAACGTCTGATCGCATTTTCTATAGGGGGAAAATATTCATAATAGTTTTACCGTCTACTCCAAAGGACGGTGATGCAAGACTTCAATTAGGCATGATATACCTCATAGATGTTCTATTCTCCCTCCATAAAACAGTTTGGTGCGGGGTTTTATTCAAAAACCATTGACATTTTTTATGAAATCGATAACCGTGTCAGGATCAGGTTGACTTTTAGCTTCTTAGTTTTTTTGACTTCAGTTATTTAGCGGGAACTGTAAATTCGTGCGTGGAATGTTAAATGTTTGTGTTTTATTTTTTTTAATTTAATTTTTTTTCATCATCATCATCATCATCATCATCATTACAGCCCTTCACAATTCCACTGCTGAACATAGGCCTCCCCCAAAGAATGCCACAAAACACGGTCCTGAGCCACCTGCATCCATCGACTTCCTGCATGTCTTACCAGGTCGTCACTCCATCTCGTGGGGGGACGCCCTACACTTCGCCTACCGGTACGAGGCTGCCACTCGAGAACCTTTCTTCCCCATCGGTTGTCGGTTCTTCGAGCTATATGGCCGGCCCATTGCCACTTCAGCTTACTAATCCGTTGGGCTATGTCGGTTACTCTGGTTCTACTGCGGATATCCTCATTCCTAAGTTTATCACGCAGAGAAACTCCGAGCATAGCCCTCTCCATAGCTCGCTGAGCGACCTTGAGCTTCCTCATCTGGCCAGCAGTGAAGGACCACGTCTCAGTTCCGTATGTCATCACTGGCAACACGCACTGGGTGTACAGTCTCGTTTTCAAGGTTTGAGGTATACCTGACGAGAAGATGTGCCGTAATTTCCCAAACGCTGCCCAACCGAGTTGAATCCGTCGATTGACCTCTCGGTCGAAGTTGGACTTACCTAGTCGGACTATTTGTCCCAGGTAAACATACTCGTCAACAACTTCGAGCTTAGTGTTCCCAACAACTACCGGCATAGGTGTGACATGGACATTAAACATGATCTTAGTTTTGTCCATGTTCATCTTAAGACCTATCCGTTGGGAAATACTATTGAGGTCATTGAGCATAGTGCTTAGGTCCTCCAGCGATTCTGCCATAAGGACTATATCGTCGGCAAATCGAAGGTGAGTGATGTACTCGCCATTGATGTTGATACCGTATCCTTTCCAGTCCAGAAGCTTGAAAACGTCTTCCAATGCAGCGGTGAAGAGTTTCGGGGATATGACGTCACCCTGTCTTACACCTCTCTGCAATTGGATAGGTTTCGTACTCTGGTTCTGTACTCGGATAGCCATCGTAGCCCTACTGTACAAGCACTTCAACACTTCGATATACCGACAGTCAACTTGGCACCGCTGAAGGGACTGCAGCACCGCCCAAATTTCGACGGAATCAAAGGCTTTCTCATAGTCCACATACGCCAGACATAGTGGCAAATTGTACTCTTCGGACTTCTGTACAATTTGCCAAAGGGTATGTATGTGATCCATGGTGCTAAAGCCCTTTCGGAAACCGGCTTGTTCGGGAGGCTGGAAGTCGTCAAGTCTGCGCGCGAGACGATTCGTAATGACTCTCGAAAACAGCACGTAGACGCGGCTCAGAAGGGAAATCGGTCTGTAGTTCTTCAAGAGAGCGTTGTCACCTTTCTTGAAGAACAAGACCACCGCACTTCTGCTCCACGCCTCCGGTATAATGCCACCATAGAGGACGGAAGTAAAGAGCTTCTGAAGGACTTCAAGTACCGGTTTTCCACCCGCTTTCAGAAGCTCCGCTGTAATTCCATCCTCGCCTGGGGCCTTACCGTTTTTAAGGTGCTGGAGAGCCATTCTAATCTCGCTCAGACTGACGTCCGGGATATCTTCGGAATAGTGTCGGATGAGACTCGCTCTTGGATCGTTACTCACACTTGCGTGTGGCTCCAACGATGACGTGTACAACTGCCCATATAATTTTTTTAAATTTAATTTAATTATTTTTCCATACCATTTTCATAGCTCCCAAAGTGCCCGCTACTATCGGCATTCTTCATCAATCAAAAATATAAGTCATAATCATTGGCACTACTCAAATGATACAGTCATTGACAGTGTCAAGAATAGATTTTGGACAAAAGAAAGAAAGTATAGTAATTGACCATTGAGTTGTATGTACTACGTACTAGAGAAGCCATTTCAAACAAAAACTGAGTCCTACTCTATGTTTTCGCGCATGCGCGAATTCTTTAATTTGATATAAAATAAGATATTAATATAAAATAAATATAAGAATTTAATATAAAATATCTTAATATCATCTAAACAAACAGGTTATATTTCTAAATAAAATGTAATAATAATTATTTTATGGAATTCACAAATCTTCAATTTACGCAATATTTAGTTTGTAGGGATTGCACTACAGTTCAGTTGAACATAGCCAATGTTCGGAATGGCTTCTCTAGTACCTAGTGCATATAACTCAATGTAATTGACATATATGACAATCATTATGTTGTCAAACAAATTATAGTCATTGGCACAATAGGTATTTTCATCATGTTATGCAGCCGCCATATTGAAACAGCGGTAATTCAAAAGTTTCGTACTGTTTTGATAAGCAATCACTGGCAAAGCAACATTATGTGTACAAACAAATGAATTCTTAGAAAAAAAAAATCATTGATGGTGCTTCACTGGTTCACAATTCTGTGGAAGCACATAATTGTGAACAATTAAAAACGTGGTTAAAGTGTCATGGACATCCGCAAAAAGGAAAAAAAGTAAGCTGATTGAGCGGCCAATTAATGATTAGCACTTTTAAAACATTAACATGAAAATTAATCACGATTATAATTGATAAAATAAAAAACTTAAATAGTTTTTATGCGATATTGCTGGCAAGGCTTTGGTTATAAAAAAATATGTGTTAGCTTGGAATGACTTATACCGTGTATCACTCTTACATAGGTACTATATAATACACAAATACAAAAAACATAGCATAAAATATTTTTTTTAAATAAGACACTTAATATTTTATTTCTTGTTTCTTTTCAAAAAATATGTAAATATATAAAATGAATATAGTCATTAAGACTATATTCATTTATATATTTACATATTTTTTTGTATTTTTTGTTTATTGCTGGTTTAATGTTTAAGTATTTTCATGTTTTTTTTTTCTTCATGAAATTATCGTTTCATTTAGCTGTACTAACTTGATGGAGCGTGAATAAAGCTAATAAAACGTTGTGAAAAGATGTTTTTTATTTTCAGGATCGATTTTCTTTTTGACCCAACATCAAAGGTGTCGTTAGTACTATCGTCTGTCTTCGTTTTCGGGAGCGTTTCACTAATACCCAGTATATAATACTTTTCCTACATTTCTGCAGACTGCCGCCGTGTTTGGCACTATAGGTCGGCCGATTGGGATAGAATGCGGTCTTTTTTTTTTGCATTCTACCTTTGGGGATGGGTTTGCTTCTCGTCGGACGATCCCTAATTTGCCGATTCTGTCGCTGATGTGGTGATTCAGGGTATGGATTTTTTTATTCCATCCTCTGTGGTACTCATCGGAGGCTGATCCCAGCCAGCAACAGATTTGGTTCACCCAATCCCTAAAAAAAGCGATCGCTCAGACCCGTTTAACTACAGGCCTATCGACATCACCTCCTTATTCCTTGTTCTCCAAAATAAAGGATTCAATTATAAACTGCCAGGTCATGAGATACCTTGAGGATCACCGGCAGATTAGTGACCGCCAATACGGTTGTAAGCGCGGTCGATCAGCTCATAGTTGGAGGGGAGCAGTAGAGTCCAAGGGGAAGGCACTAGCCGTTAGTTTGGACATAGCGATCGAGGCTGGCACAATGCACTTCTTTCGAAGTTCCCTTCCTATAGGCTTCCCGAGAAATTGTGCAAATAGATCACCAGTTTCCTTGCAGATCGGAGCAACAAAGCCGTAGTAGACGGTGCATGCTCTGATTACAAGCCTGTTAACGCTGGTGTTCCATATCAATGATACGTTGCAAAACTGGTAACATTCATTGCTATGTAGACGATAGCACTGGTGATTCCTTAAACACCGGCCGTGTCAATATTTATCGGGAAAACGTCGCCGAGTTCGAGGACAAACTTGTCACAAGATTGTCCTGGTACCCACAATCCGAGACTGTTCAGCAAAGACGAGTCTTTAAATTTTTTATTTATTTGTGTAGGAAATACGAGTAAATTTAGTACCGCTTACCTATACAAAACTATATCTATACAAATAAATCAAATTGAAGTGTCTGTTTGTAATATCAAAATAACAGATTTTTAGAAAATACATATAAAAGTGTGTACGGTACTTATAACGTAACGTATAACAAAACACATTTTTTTAATTTTTGTCTGTCTGTCTTTCTGCTTGTTCCGGCTAATCTCTGAAATGGCTGGACCGATTTTGATGGGACTTTCACTAGAAGATAGCTGATCTTATAAGGAGTAATTTAGGCTTCTTTTAATTTAGAAAAAGAATTAGGGTTCTGCGCAAAAAAATTAAAACCCTAAACTGAACGCGGACGAAATCACTATAGCTAGTTAAATAATAAAAAGGCTATTTGTTTGATTCATCTCGTATGTTGTGTCGATTTTGTTTATAAACTTAAGTCTAAATAAAATAAATGAAAACGATATATTTTTAATAGTTCTTGGATACTACAAACCTGCATAACAAAATCCGGGGCATCTTTTAAACTTTGTAGAATAAGTTTTCCAAGGTGATATCTGTCACTTGGTATTCCAGATTCTGCGATGACGCGCGATGACAGTTCGTTTATAAACCAGTGCACGGCGTCATTAATACGTTTCTCAGACATTTTCTAGAAAAAAAATTAAGATACAGTTTTCTATAAAAATTTTAGACTCTGGAATTCGCTGTCACCAGCTATTTTTATTAGAGATCTTAAAAAAAGTGCCCCCAGTTTACAACGGCATTTCTTGCCATCAGATGGGTCGCTTGCTTAATGCTTAAATGCTTGTTATTATGCTTGAATGCCCCTCTTCCTAGAAAAAACCTGCTGGACGGAAGCTTTTTCTTAAGTCTACATTGATTTGCTGCAGCGTGGCTCTACCATGTTATACGTGGTAGAGCCACGCTGCAGCTATATTATGGTTGCAGCAAGAATGGGTCAGCTTGACCGGGGTAATATCAGGCTCTCACAGAATACCAGCGTAAAATAGCAACTTAATGCTGCTGTGTTTCGTATGGTGAGTGTAGAGAACCGGAGACCCTTTTTACTGGAAACAGGGCATTCCATTTTAGTCCTCAGGTGTGACAACGCATCTACATTTTGATTCTTCATTGAGGCTAAATGTAGATGTCTAACGGCCACAGTATCCATTTACCATCAGGTGGACTGTGTGCTCGTTTGTCACCTTATGCTATAAAAAAAAGATTTACCATAATTATGCACGGCAAGCGGATTGCCGACTGTAGTACCAGACATTTTGTACTCTTGATGCTGTCTGGATATTTATATCCAGATATACAGAACATATTATATGGGTTATATGTATGTGAACCGATAATCCCAGATGGTGTATTAACCATCTGAGATTATCGGTCATATTTCATATCAGTGCGATATATCGTGAGATTTTGTTTTTAGCTTAAAATAAGCAATTAATTTCTTTATTATTTACTCACGGTCTTTCGCAGTATAATAATATACATATAAGCGCAGTTTCGAGATAAGGTCTTAAAACTGTGATATAAGCCTGTAATCTAGCACTGTAGTATTGTTTTTAACTGACTTTAAAAAAGGAGGAGGTTCACAATTCGACTGTATTTTTTTAAGTGTGCTACCTCTTTTTTCCAAGGTTTATAAGCTAATTAGCAAATAATTTCTCGTTGCGATTCACTTTCATATTTTTTGTGAGCTTAAATTATTTGAATTAGTAGACGTCGGCTATTCTTAGGAACTGCGATGGCCGCTTCTTATATAAGTGCGGTTACACTAACCAACCAGTAACCAATATTCTTCCAGCCGCAACAAAATTGTTTAAAAACAATTCTTACACGGCAGAAATACTGCCTCGGATGTATTGTACACTAACTTTATCACTGTGTGACAGGTGTTCTTGGGCAGCGGTGGTGGTGCGGTATGCTCGTGTGCTCGTAATGACCATTTTGATCAGGGTTGAACAGTGATCATTTTATTATTACACAGATAAAATTTAATTTAAAACATTTTTTAAAAGATTTTTTTTTTAACTTTATTCACACTAATATAATAAATTAAACTGTAAACTTTAGAACATTCGAATGGATCATCATCATCATCATCATCATTACAGCCCTTCAAAGGTCCACTGCTGAACATAGGCCTCCCCCAAGGAATGCCACAAAGTACGGTCCTGAGCCACCTACATCCATCGACTTCCTGCATGTCTCACCAGGTCGTCACTCCATCTAGTGGGTGGTCGCCATACACTTCGCTTACCAGTAGGAGGCTGCCACTCGAGAACCTTTCTTCCCCATCGGTTGTCGGTTCTTCGAGCTATATGGCCGGCCCACTGCCACTTCAGCTTACTAATCCGTTGGGCTATGTCGGTTACTCTGGTTCTATTGCGGATATCCTAATTTCTAAGTTTATCACGCAGAGAAACCCCGAGCATAGCCCTCTCCATAGCTCGCTGAGCGACCTAGAGCTTCCTCATACGGCCAGCAGTGAAGGACCACGTCTCAGTTCCGTAAGTCATCACTGGCAACACGCACTGGTTGTACAATTTCGTTTTAAGGTTTTGAGGTATGTCTAATCTCTATTAGAACTCTATTAGAAATGATAAAAAAATAAAAAAAAAATAAAATAAAAGTTATTTCGATGCCAACAAAAAATAGAGCCATTTAAGTCACATAATATTTTGATACTCGCAACTCACTCATGTGGTCCGTAGTAGAATTATGAAACTTGTCAAGAAGCAAGGTCTTAGGACAACCAAGCAAATAATTTTAAATCGTTAATTTGCAATAATACGACATATAAAATCATTTTCTTGCGATTACAAAGTAACATTTGCAATTGGATCATCAACCCTGATGCAGACTATTGTATGGAATAACATTTTTCTACTTCAAAGTTAGATTTGTCCCTCAAACTAACTTAATCTATTCGTTAGAGTACATAATGTTGGGTGCTCACCTTACGTGTAATTTCCTAAATGGATTAACTATCTAAAATTAACTTTACACGGAACCCTCACGACACGAGTCCTACTCTTTCTAGTTCGTTATTTTAATTTATTTTACTCACTTTGATTTATTTGTGTTTCAAATAAAGAACGAAATACACTACACGCTTGTTACGCTTGTGTCGTATCGCGTATTAGAGACGTTCCATTATAATATTCTGCGCTGCTTCGCGACCGACATTTATGTACTATTCTTGGCAAATATACCTTAAGGCAAGATCACAATGTCCATACCGTCAATTTTTCGTTTGAGCGGAACTATTAACTCCGTATTCCTTTATTTCCACAGTCGAGTAACTTGCATGACGGGTGAAGGAGAAGTGAACGTACTAAGTATTTAAGTCTAAGTATCTATTAGTGTGCCAGCCCCCATTTCTTAAGAAATAATTCAGATAACGTGTTTTCGTGTCACTATTTTTTGGTTTGGAATCTGTTCATAAGCTTGATATATTTTTATCTATAATAATCAGTACACTGTATCGGTCATTTCATGTTTAAAAAACGATTATTAATGTTTTCGAAACAACAAAACTATTGCATGCCTTAAGCGTAAAGCGCGTAGGTATATTCTACTAGCGCCTAAAAATCAAGATTTCAACGTTTTGTCGCATAAAATCGTATCTAACAATGAAATTGAATATATAAGTGACAAATAACATTGTCAGAAAGATAAATGATTGTTAAACTTATTAATATTTTTTTTAAATCGATTAATTGCTATTTTTACATAAAAAAAAAGTGGTTTTAGTGGCTTATGGTGTAGATTTATCAATTCCGTATGGAGTGGTAAACACGATAACTTCTGAAAATGTCAATTGTTTAACTCAATTTATTTTTTATCTCTTCATCTATTATGCGGGAAGCCATGGAATGTAAATGGCAGTTAATTTTCTTTTGTTTAGTTATAATTATTTTTTTTCAGCGTAGAAATCCGGAAATTTTCGATTTTTTAGCAGACTTGTAATAATTTATTTTAGTACATAGACTGCCTCAGTCAGTCACTTCGGCGTTAACCGTGAGTAGATAACTGTATCAGTTGTTTGCAGCGGCTCAAAAAGATCGCTGTACAAATACAAAATATTCGAAAAACCAAATTTCATACATACTTGATTATTATAATAATCAGAGAATATTTTAAAAGCATAGAATAAATAATAGTATTACGTACTAAACGTAAGTAGGATGTATATAATTAAGTATATGTACTTAAATACGTCTTGGATTTTATGGAGTGACCCGAATAATGATATGATGATCATATGAGCATTATGAGTCCTGCACTTTTGGATTATCCAAACTTTTTTAAAATTGAATTTTGACATACAATTATTGGAAAATTGGAAATATAATAATAAAGTTAGTGAAAACTTGTGTGTACATAAACTACTTTAAAATATTTACGTATAATCATGTTATACGTAATTTTTTTAATGCGCTTAGGGCATGCACAATTGGATTTATCAATAATTTATTGCTTTATAAGGGGAATATTATTTATATACTAGGTGATATATGTACGTTAATCAAATTATATATGTAAATATTTATATCAGTGATGGGAAGCATAGTCTAAGGTGTTATTACATATAAATGCCTAGTATTGCTATCGCTAATCCATATGCTGTTCGTGTAATTTTTTTATATGATAGGGTGACAAACGAGCACACAGTCTACCTGATGGTAAGTGGGTGCTGTGACCCATAGACATCTACATCTATCGTCGTTTGCGAATCAAAATGCAGATGCGTTGTCACCCGTGAGGACTAAGATGGAATGCCTCTTTTCCAGTAAAAAGGGTCTCCGGTTCTCTACACTCACCATACGAAACACAGCAGTGTTAAGCTGCTATTTTACGCTGGTATTCTGTGAGAGCGTGGTCCTTCCCCGGTCGAGCTGACCCATTTGTACTACAACTTTACTACTAATATAGCTGCAGCATGGCTCTACCACGTAAAAAATGCATATTATGACTAACAGAAGACTGGAGGAAATACACATAAAATATTGATACTCTTTAAATTATTAGTCTATTTTAGCGAATAATATAAAATAAAATATGAGCTGCATCATTGAGCTACAACAAGAAGTGATAGTTCTGTGAAATAAAAACATATTACGCATATTATATTTAGAAGAATTCCATAATTTAAATAAATAATTTATGTTTATTATGTCTGGGGAGTGGCGCCATATGCTGAAATACAGGTTTTGGCCTAGTTCGGCAATGGATGCTATTTTTCATGTTATAAGATGAAATATTCCTATGTAGTTTATAAATAGACATATTGTTAACTGATATATATATATGGAAAATATGGAAATAAAGATTAAAGAAGACTATAAAAATATAAAGTTTTAGTTGACACCTATCTAGCAAATTTGGGAAGTAGACATTATCTAAATACAAAATTCAATTCTCTCTTTCTTCTTAATATTTTTGTTAACACAGTATATTGTTATCGGATCTTTTTACAAACTTTAGAAAAGTTTGGTTCACTGACACTAAATCACTGAATTAACGTTGGAGATATCGTGTTACACATATTTTAAGATAAAGGCAAAATAAAAAAATATTCCTATTTGGTGTTGGTAAAAATGAATCGTCAACAATGATCGTCTGTGAGCA